TACTACCATAATGATTATCTCCACAGAATGTGGGTGTGTGGTCACTCTTAGCTTCATTTCTCCCCATAGACCTTACTGGCATGGGTGTCCCTACCAGGAGCTTGTGCTCCAGCCTGCATTGCCCTATGGATCTGTAAAATTACTGGGCTCTCCCACCCAGACCAGGTGGTGACCACGGGAGAGTTATTATTATTATTATTATTATTATTATGACAATGATGACAATCAAAATTTTAGGGGAAATGCCTCCAAGAGTACTTAACATTAATAAAAAAGCAACAAACTACTACTGCTTTATCTACTGTATTCTTAGAGACAGACATCCATACACATCTAGACCAGGCAAAACTTATACACAATTCAAATTTACAAGTAGCAAGGGAAAAATCAGTATCAACTATTAAGACAGCAATTCCTTGCCCTAGACATGGAGGGCCTTATTCAGAATTCAAAAAATTATACTGCAAGATCAGACACATCATCAGCACAAACAAACTAATCAGGACTTATAAAATGCTGACTTTTAAAGAATCCAACATACGTGGTGTTCTGTTTGTAGAAATTAAAATATTCTTTACAAGCATTGTTTTACATTTGTAAGAGTTTAGATCCTGAAGATGGGGGCTTAAGACCACTGAAACCATTTGTCCTACAGTGTAAATATTTGACTTTACTACTAGTTTTGGTGTATTATGTAAGTTAACCTTACTTTAGAAATAACATTCATCATTCTTATTATCCAAATCAATGTAATCCTACTGTAATTGTAAAGTTTTTTTTATCTTAAATAAATAAAATTAATATTAAATACTAAACTAATAACTAAATACTAATACTAAATAATTTCTTTTTCAATGATAACATGAAGGATTTATTATGATTTTCAACTGTTATTTCTTAGAATTAAAAATTGTTAACTCATTAATATAATTTATTATTATTACACTATTGCATTTGGATTTAGAATTACTTTAAATCTTAATATTAAAAATTAAAAGTACACAATTTAAAATAGATTATCAGGGTTAAATTAATGACATTTTATTTATGATACAATTAATTTTTATAAGTTTTTTTAGGGAAGCTGTACATAAGAAAGGAAAAATGAGCTATACAGACTTTGTATGGTTTTTATTGTCAGAAGAAGACAAGAGACATCCTAGGAGGTATATCTAAATTTACTTATTTTATAATTACAGCAAAATACATTCATTGATATAAAACTTTTAACATAAACTAAAAGAAAAAGAATTACCATTTCAGAAGATTTCTTTATTTTTTAATCTGAAACATTTAAAATTAATAAAAATAAATTAATTAATAAATTTTAGAAAATTATCTATTACTAGATCTGTGTTAAATTCATTATTGAATATTTTTGTACGTAAATTTTTGAGAAAAGTTATAAAGAATAAGCTCTCTTAAATGATAATATAATGCAGTTATATTTCTCAGTTTGAAATTTATAATAATTGATAGAATTAAAAAACAAAATCTATTTGTTGGATGTCTGAAGAGGGGAGGGGGTTTACAGAAACTTTGACAAACTGGGACCAGAGGGGGAGGATGAGTAAAAATTTCAAGAAAAGTGCATAATTTATGGACAGCCCCTTAACAGTAATGTGTTAAATTTGAAAACTTAAAATTAAGTAGCAGCTATCAAAACTATGTAAAAACTGTCTATTCAACTCAGTATAACCTTTACCTATTAACCGTGGCATCTGAGAAATGTGTGAAGCAACAAACCCTAAGAGGAAGGTTGTAATATCAAGGATTTGAGGTGAAAAAACTTATCACTCGTGGCAATGTTTGAGATGACAAAGCAGTGGCATGCAACAAGTAAATGCAATTTTTATTTTATTGTACAGTATTTATGTATTTAATTTATCTTTGTTGTATTTTAATTTATTAGGGCATTTAATTGTTTTTACCTTAAATTATGAACATTTGCTATTATTATGTTTATTGAAATAAGTATTGTTTAGGATCTGGGAATGGATTAATTCACTTTTTATTATTTCAAATGGAAAAAATTGATTTGGACTTCTTACAACTACTTGGAATGAATTAAATTTGAAGTACAAGTCACCGTTGTATTCAAAATTAACTTTTACATAAATTATAAGTTAATTTTGTAAACTTTTGAAATGCATAGAATTATATTATTACATGTATTGTTATAATTACAACATATGTATTTTTTTATTAGCATTGAATACTGGTTCCGTTGTATGGACTTAGATGGAGATGGTTATTTGTCAATGTATGAAATGGAATATTTTTATGAAGAACAACTGCAAAGAATGGAAGTATTGGGAATTGAAACATTGCCATTCAAAGATTGCTTATGTCAGGTATGTAAAAAGAACAGTAATTAAATTTTAAAAATAATCAATAATCTTAAGGTGCCATTTCTGATTAAATTTAATAATTATAATTAAATTAATATTTATTAAATAAATTAGAATATTCTAGAAGAAAAGAATTGACCCAAAATGGTACTTGAACCCACAACTCCTGCTTACTGTGCAGATGCATTGCTGTGCAGAAGCTTCCAGTCTGATCTCTTCCAGACATTTTTAAGTATGATATAATAATCCTCAGTTACAGTGCAGTGCTGACTGGGGACACCTTCAGCACCCTTGTCTTATAAGTTTGATGAGTAGGAGTTTATAGGAGTGCTGAAGTTGTGTCCAGTCAGCACCATATGCAGCTGAGGATGGTTATATCATATTTAAAAATGTCTGGAAGCTTGGGCAGCATAACTGGCAACGCATCCACACAGTAAGCGGGAGTTGTGGATTTGAGTCTCACTTTGGGCCAATTCTTTTCTTCCAGAATATTATAAATTATTTAATAAATATTAATTTAATTATAATTATTAAATTTAATCAGAGATGGAACCTAATGCCTCCTTCTAGTGACAAATTATTTAGTAATTAATTAAATATAATCATGGAAAAGTAGCCCAATGTAATCCAGTGGTTGTTTGGCTTTACAAATTTATTGGGTTTCATGATGTTTGTTTATGTAAATTTAACTACCATAATGTTAATTAATACTCTTGATCTTTGTATATTTGAAATATTTATATTTTATATTAATAATAACTTTATTTAGTGCTTGTTCTTTTTTTATAAATTTCTAATATTTAATTTATATTTTTAATTTAGATGTTAGATATGATTAGACCTAAAGTGCCTGGATGTATTTCTTTATCAGATTTAAAATCATGCAAAATGACTCCATTATTTTTTGATACTTTCTTCAATCTTGAAAAATATTTGGACCATGAACAGAGAGATCCTTTTGCTTCTCAACGAGTAAGTGTTTTATGTTTGTTGTTGTCAAAATTGTTTTGAAAAATATGTGAAATGAGTTTAATATCAATTTCAAACATAACCAAATTATATTAACATTAAATTCATGTAAAAATTTAATTAGATGATGCAATCAAGAATTTTAAATATTTCTTACAGAAGTTGTTGCTTATCTAAAACTAAGTACAGTATTTATATTAATGTTTATATAGTATCATGATGCCAAGTTACCAAAGATATAATCATAACAATATAGTATTATATTTTAATAAGATATGCACTTTTTTTGCATTTTAGTTTCTGAAACCTGGATGCATCTCACATTTGTGTCAAAAGAAATTTGTTAGATTGACAGATTCATAAGTGTGTGTTGCGGCATATTTATCATTACTTTGACAGCAAAACAAACAAATAACTTCATTTATATGCAATGAAACTATTTGCTTGTTTTGTTGTAATTTCAGTTACTTGCATTAATGATGTGTTGAATTTAACTACAATTTGGGCTGTACAATTTAAATGTCTTCAAAAAATTACATTATGATGTAGCACAATCCTGCTCAGTTAATTTGTAGCAAAGTTCAAAAACGGAACTGGCATACTGCTAGTCCGAATCATATACTCTCAACTATTAAACTGATGGAGTGAACAGTTGTCCATGTAAATATACAAAGTATAGATATCATATGTGCTATTTATTTATTAAGTCAAACTATTCTTTACAGTTAATGAGCGGAATTTCTCTATTTTCATGAAATTGGGTGTATATGATATCATTTTAATTTGGATGCATTTTTCCAAATGACATTAATCTTGCATTGCTCCTGTAATTGTATTTAATATAATTCATGTGTGATAAAACCAAACGAAAAAAGCTGGTCAGTTTGGAAACACAAACTTATGTGAGGTCATTGATTCAGCCCAAAAATAGTCAAAATTTATATCAGGACAACAAGCAGATCAGAAAATCATATGAGTAATGTTTGGACACTGAGCCAGGATTGCCATTTACAAAAGAACCATTTATTCAAATAAAGACATGCTTATAAAATTTCTTTTTGTACCTTCTATAAAAGATTCAGTTCTTAATATTGGTCTAAAGAAAGAATCCAGAGAGGGTCCGAATGTTGTTGGTTTAGGTTGACGATAAGTCGATGGCCCGGGGCTCACTTTGTCTGGTGGAATTTGGGTCAGCTGAGCTGCTTGTCTACAGTTGGCCATTTGGGAAGCACAACACAGGAAATTTAATTTTTAATATGATTGGAACGTATCCTGAGAGACAACTGATCGACTAGAGAGGATGGATCTGGGATGAGAACTTTTTATGATTAAATCCTCAGAAATGAAACTTGGATCTTAGAGAAAGGACTAAGATCTTGGGGAAGAACCTCATGTTCTTGAGACATGAGTTTTTAAAGGGTTCTCTCCTTGATCCCACATTCTGATTGATCAATCAATGATATTCCTCATCACTTTCCAATTGGTCCATCCTTGTCTCCAGGTGAAAATTCTGGATCTTTCAGGTTGCAGGAGAGATCAATATTGATGTTTAACCTGACGCAATTTCCATATTAGTATTTATCAAACTTTGAAACTCTTTCTTGTAACTCAAGCTTTGTGTGTTTATCTTTTTGACATCAAGAATTTTATAATTGTCTTCATGAGACATTATTTAATTAAATAAAGTTAAACAATAATGTGGACCGTTTATTTTGAAAGTGGTGTAAGTCCATTTTTTCTTCTTTCGAGATATTTAAACATTTGCATTTTAGTTGATTCAAAAATATAAACAAAGTGTACTAAGTTTGACAATGTTTCTATGACTTTAGAAATATGTAAGTTGATTGCATAAAGACTTCTATGTGAATTTATCCAAACTAATATATTCTTTCTGGGCCATAAATGGACTTACACCACTTTCATAATTACTAAACTGTAAAATTCATTAAATTTCTATTATGTAAAACTCAATGTCACTTGAAACACATTGCGTTTTATTCTGATTTTGTTCATATATAATAACAAGAAATAAAATAGTATTGTTTATTCTGAACATTAAAAATATTTACTTATTGTTAAACTATTTTATGATAAATTTATCATTATTATGAGCTTACCATTAGACACTGCTTTTCATTTAGATTCATTACATGGATTTTTTTCTAGTCTATCAAATTGTACATTTGTTGGTAATATTTATAGTTTTACTCCTCTGTTGTAAGGGGCTGTCTTTAAATGATGTCCACACTGAAAGGGAGGGAGGGGTTAAGACAAGTTGGACAAGGAGGGTTGAGTATTAGTGGACATCCATTTATTTCATTAAATTTTATACAATATGCATTTTATTATATTTATTTCAAAGTTTCTTGTATGTTTCATTTCTACTTATGGTATCTATCATTCATAAAGTGATGAAGGTTTTAACAGGGATAGAGTTATGTTGGACATCCATAGAGGGAAAGGGGTTACAAAAACTTGGACAAACTGGGACAAGAGGGAAAAGTAAACATTTCAAGAAAAATGCACATGTAATTTATGGATAGCCCAAGTGCTTAGACTGTAGAAAATGGACTTATACCACTTTCAAAATCAATGGTTATGCAATGTCATTTATCGATAAATTTTCAATTGATCAAAGCTTATGGTTATTTTAAAATGTTAAGTGTGAATTGTTTATAAATAAAAAGTTCACACTAAATTGTATGTATATTATGTGTTTTCTCAATTTTTTCCAAAAATGGACTTACACCACTTTCAAAATAAACGGTCCATATATTGAAATGATTTGTCATTTATTTTATTTGAAAGGTGGGAGTTTAACTTTCCCATCAAACATTCATTAGCATTTTAGCATGTAATTTCAAATTTAGTCCTGGACCTCACACTTACAGGACTGTTTTATTTGGCTGATGGTTTGGAAAAATCTATCATATGCTCCAGATTCAAACCACAGTCTATTGGTTGTGTAGGGCTGAAATAATATTTAAACATTGTGTGTATGAATTGAAATAATGTGATAGGGCATAAATTAATGCACATTACATTAATTTCTATTCAAATTCTAAGTAATTCCATGAACAAATTTATAAATTAGTGCTGTTGCAGGTTAATAAAAAATTTTGTGCCTTTTCAATTTTACATTGTCAATACTTCTCACAATCAATGATAATTTAAAATTGAATTGAAATACAGTAACTTATGAAAAGAAGGATGAGAAGAAAAGATAATTTACTTGAATATATTAGTAGTAAAATTATTTAAATTTAAAATTAAGTATTTTAATCTTTGTTTCCTGGGTATGAGTAAATATTAAATATTCTTAAGTATTATGTGAAATGATTACACAATTATGTTAATATTAACATACAAATTAATAAATTATTAAGTATTTGTAGAATTTGTAATTGTTTAAATCTTTGTTCTACATAACATTCTACATAATTTACATCACTTAAAATAAAACCTTATATTATTGTAAATTTTTTCTTTAAATATAAGGTTTTATTTTAATTGATGTAAACTATGTAGAATGTTTTTATGAAATGTAAATTATAAACAATAAAGAAATACAGCTACTAGTATTTGTAGTTTTACTGTGACATGCATTAAAAATTAACCTTTTAACTTTTAAAATTAAACTTTTAAAAACTTTTAAAATTAAAAGTTTCTTTTCTGTTAATAGTAAGGATACATTTAGAATAATAAGCAAAATTTAAAAATACTAAACGATTTTTTTGTACATGTGAACAATGTTAGATTTTCAGCTGTTTTTTATGAATATGTTCTAATTATATAATAATATAAAATTGTACTAAAACATAATTAACATTGACACACAGAATTATTTTGATGTAATAAATCACACACACAATTATTGAAATTATATATATATATATATATATATATATATTAATTCTATTAGGAACAAGATTCAGATAGCTGTGAAATGACTGATTGGGATCGTTATGCTACAGAAGAATACGAGTTACTTGTTGCTGAGGAAGGTACAAGTGATCAAGCAGATGATCTGTAAGTAATATTTAAATAATTACATCAATTATCTAAAATTTGATATTATCTTATAAAACTATACCATAGTATTATTTACTTGTAAACTCTTATTGTTAAAAATTTTTAATTCATTATCTTTAATATATTAAGGAATAAAATACATACTTTTTTATCTTGTTAAAGACATTGTTTATAGTAAAAATAGAAAATGAACTAAGCTTAGAAGCATCATTATTAGTAAATTTATTGAAATAATGACAAGTTCTGCATGATCTTTCTTAATAATTAATTTTATTAGCTTTTGTTATTTATAAACAATGTGTGTGTACAAGCCAAACAATAGCCTTTGAAAATGAAAGCATCTGTATGTAATAAGATTTTGATCAAATTTCTGAAAGGGAAAAATATGTTTTAATTTCAGAGAGGATTTTTAAAATTTATTTCTATAACTTCTCAAAGTTTATAATATTTGCTTGAAACTTTTGTAAATATAAATTGAGTTTCATTAAATTCTTAAACAGTAATTTGAAAATAAATCACTAAATTTTAATTGCATTCCATGATCAGAATATGTTAATGTTGTTTTGCCTATAAATTGGCAATGAATCGCTTTGTCAGAGAAGAGAAAGTACTGAAATACCTTTTTCCTTCTGCTCATGTCTATGTGAAAGTGCATTTTCTACATTTGTAGATCTAAAAACAAACAAAAGAAATTATCTTGATGATGAAATTAAGAAACTTTAATGAGATTAAAAATACTTTCATTCAAGTTTTATTTTAATGAGTTTCATGTTTGTGCTATGTACTGTATATGTTTGATAATTTGTTACAATATTGATGTTAAAAGTTGTAGCAGATTAACTATTAGACTGAGTAGACATAAGATTAGGGACCTGGAAAGGAAGACCCATGAGCAAAAAGAAAACATGGTTCTGTTGAATGTGCAGAAAGTGTTTTAATTGAATATACATGAGTATTTTGGATGATATTTCAATACTTTGCTCATTGTTAACTGGCTCTCATTTACATTGAATTGAATATGCTTTGCTCTGTTGATTTACATTCTATTATTGACGTTTACATAACCTAAAAACACGTAGACAATTTTTAAAATACAAATGTAGATAAAATAAAAACAAATGAATAAAACAGCTATAGTTGATTCATATAATTTTGTAATATTATACATAAAATACATTACACATAATAAAATGATATAAAGTATTTAACATAATTTAATGTCACTTTATTCTATTCAACAAAGGGTAACAGGAAGAGGTGCCTTATAAAGCCTAGCCTAGTACTCTGTTGCAAGTTAAAATTACATTTATTTTATTCTTATTCATGTTTAAATATTCCCAAGTACCCTTATCTAAAAGGGGTACACATATGCCAAAACTTTGAGTAAACACTGCTCTAATTATTATTTAGTCAATTTAGAAAAAACAATTCAATTTTTATTTTGTCATTTTTCAATTAAAATTTATTTCTGTAACTTAAAAACAGTTTAAATAATTGCTTTTAAACTAAAAATTTCATATTTGTTTTCTATATTATAACCTTTTTGCAATAAGATCACTTGGCTACTGTGTTTCCCCGAAAATAAGACATCTGCAGAAAATAAGACCTAGCACAGGTTTTGCTGAATTGCGAAATATAAGACCTCCCCCTGAAAGTAAGACCTAGCGAAGTTCTTTTTTAGTCGTAACGGTCATCGACAGATGGTTGAAAGTGGCCGTTGGCTTTTCAGTGCCTGTTGGCTTTTTGAAAGCCAACAACCACTGATTGGTCAGCAGACAATTACGCCACATGGCATGATTTGCATAAGACTATAGCTTGGGAATCACAGATTTGCATAACGTTACGGCTGGTGATGGCTAATTGGTCGGCCGGGAATCACGCCACATGACATTTGCATAGTGCTACGGTTCAGTAAGCACTAATTGGTCATCGAGTCTGATGTTGACGCTATAAAAAGGCGACAGTTCCGACGCACCGGATATACGTCACTCTCGTCTAAGTTCGACTTGGGAATTTTTTTGTTCAATAATAAATGTGAATTCTTCTTCCTGGAAAAAATAAGACCTAGTGCATTTTTCAGAGCAAAAATTAATATAAGGCACTGTCTTATTTTCGGGGAAACACGGTATTTAACCCTTTTAAAGCCATGACGTAAAGATGACAGTTTTAATGTTATTTATAATTTAGGATGTCCTAATTATGATATTGATTATCAAGAAATGAGAATTAAAAATAATGGCATTGAGGAAAATCTTGATAGCAAAATATCAAAATTTTATAATACTTTGGTGAGAACATGTTCTTGTTCATTTTAGAATTCTTTTAGTGCACCATGCCAAAATATTCTTATATGTCCAAATTATTATATTTTCTTATTTTCAAAAACTTGCTTTCATGCAAGATATATTATTTCAATTGAAAATGCACTAAGTATGGATACAGATGATGTAAATGTAGACATTGATAATCATATTGACATTTTACTGATGATTTTGATTGTCCCAACAAAATATCATCAGATAAGGAAAAATTTAATACGGCACTGGCAATAAAATATCTGCAATATTTTTAGTTGTCTAATTATGGAATGCAAACCTTCAATAAATATGTAGAGGAATTAAAAATAATAGAAACCAATGCAAGAAATGGAATTTCTCTTTTTGAACATGAAAATAGTGGACTTAGTACAATTGAACAAGAACAAAAAATTTGGTCTAATAATGAGCCCTGTTCAAATCAATCAAATAAAGGCTTAAAATTCAAAACTAAAATTAAATCCAAAGGATGTCCAAAGAGAAAGACTAAGCAGACCATTTTTTACAAAAAAAAAAAAAATTAAAATACAGAATAAAAAATAATATAATATTTTACTTTATTGGTATACCTACCAATCTACTTTAAATTTCATTAGTGGTATTTCAATGATTTAATGATACATCATAGTTTATTGATTACTTTATTGAACAACATTGTAACTGAACTTTAATAAATAAAACTATAATTAATGTTTTGATAATAACTACACAGTTATAAATAGCCAATTGCATATACATATTGTATGTATAGCCACATCCTTAATTTTATTATAGAATTATGAAATGTGTTTTCTTTTACTCTTAAATTATATTCATAAATATTTTTTATTTAAATATCAAATTAGTTCTTCTCCCATTTGATTTGCTATATACTTTATGTTTTAATTCTATTTATATATTTTGTAAATATAAAAACTCTTATCTTTCAAATATTTTATGTCAGAATATACGAAGACTATGATCAAGACGACGAATTATCAAATATCCATAAAATAAACGGGTCAAGCATTGTTCAACGTAGTAGTTCTGCTGCAAATAATGTAAACATTGACGATGATGACGACGACGACGATTTTGCAGATTCTGATGTTACCTATTACTAAAATGTATTACGAGACAAAATTACAGTGAGGTAATTATCTATAGCATTTTTTTTTATTTTATTGATTTTACTTATAATATATTGATTTTATAAATTAATTCAGGATATGAATACAATGCCATAATGTAAGATGGGTAGAGGAATGCATAAGCCTATGAATGGAATTGAGTCATTCCATAAAGAGTAAACAGGCAGCAAATAATATTTACATACTTCTATACTTCTTAATTAGTAAAAATTTATCGTTAAAGGTACTCATTACTAATTTTTACTTTAACTTATTTTGTATAAATAATATTTTTGTTGTTGTTGTTATTTTATACAGAATATGTTAAATTAATCTATATAAATTGTCAGTAATTAAACACATGCCAAAGATACTTTGTATATATCCCAATAACAAAAGCCACATCAATTTATAGATTAATATTGTAAAATAGATGTTTATGATTGAGAAAACAGACAAAATTTCAGCTTAAATTATATGTATGTTAATAATGTATATGACTTTCTTTACACAGACAATGAAAAATTCTATTTTTACATCAGTAGTATACAGCAAATGTTGTATTTTGTACTGTTTATTCAACAGTCTTTTATATTTTTGAATTTGTGATACGAAAACTGCATACAATGTATATAGTGTACATAGTTTTTTTTTGTTTTGTTTTGTTTTGATGTAATATTCATAATTTGTTCAATGAATGACATTGAAAGAATTTATTTATATTAATCTACAAGTAGTTTGTGTAATTTATCTATTTATAGCAATTTTATTTGTTTGTACTTGATTATATTACAAATTGTATTTCACGAGAATAATTTTTTAATGTTATAATTTATTTTATATTTGTTGTCGTTTATCTACGAGAAATCTGTGTCATGTTTACATTGTATCTGAAAATTAAATTATTTTCAGTAAAATTCTTTAATCTGTTTACTGCTTGCAAGTCAACTCTTAGTACCTGTAATATATGAAAATTTCTTCAATTGTAGTAAATAAATATTTTATTAAAATGGAAATCGTAAACTGTGTGCAGAAATAGATTATGGTATTTTATTACAACTTTTGTGTTCTTTACTTTTATATTTTATGTTGAAAAATGAGGTTTGTTTAAATATAAAATAGCATTTTCTTGTTTTGTCAACTATCAAATGATTTTTTTTTCATTTTTATGTCAACAAAATGAAATGCAAATGATATTTCTAATGTACCATTTAAAGTATTGCAGATAAAATTTGTATTAATTTGTTAGGAATGCTGTTCTTTTGAGTGATGAAATAACTCAAAATTAGTGACATTTCCCTTCCATGGAGGGAGTATAATATGGATAGAGTACTTGTATATGTTGTAATAAATTATGAAAAGTTTTTGTTTTCAGAATTTGTTTATATTTTCTTGTTATTAACAAAATAAAAGTTGTGTTTCAGTTACTTCATAGATTAAAAATTGTTTAAACACAATTTGAAGATGAACCCATTTTTATTTTTAACTAGCTTACCCGTCGCGCATTGCTGCGATCTCAGAAGAAACGAAATTCAAGCAAACTCATTATGATAAAATTAAATTTACATTTTATCATTTTTATTGAAACTTAGTATTATATTATTATTCATTTTAATTGGGAAAACATTTCAAAGTGTCGTTTCAATTCTATTTATTTATTGGAGTGTTTGTGGATACACTATATTTTTTGTTTTTCTGTCTGATGCGTACACGAATAAATCAGAAGGTTTCCCGACACGTGAACAGGCCACATACAGTTGTACTGTACATGTGAGAAGCATGGATTCTTTAAATTTAGCCCACATACACACAAAGATTGTTAGAAGTGTGATATTCCTCATTTTTATATATTTTTTTAAAATTCTTTATAATTTTGATTATTTAATTGCTCCTTCCTCTTTTCCTTGGCACGTGAAATTTCTGATAGTTGGATAATAAACTGATTTATTGTAATTTGTCTTTTTAAATTAGTTTGAGTCGATATTAAAATTTGGGAAAGGGGGATCCTAGATTGGTAAAATAGGCGAATTTCCTCCTACAACTTCGGTTGTTGTTCAGAATATGGTTAAGGTTTTAACAAAGTTCGAGCGAATACATAATTAGCAAAAAATAGTTGAAATAAAGTGATTAAACAAAAATTATTACAAATATTGTAAATACAAATGCATATATAGAGATATTTTTTGAAGGGGGAGAAATGGTCTTCACAATTTGAAATCGATCTAACACAGTGCTCGAATGCTTGTGTAAACGCACGCCATCTATCGTAGGATAAATGTACTTCGTGGGAGTGAATTAAAAAACTTTCCAAAAGTTTTATGGCAATCGTACTATGCCACAAACCTTCGCCGGAGTATATTAAACAACTTCCCAAAGTTTCACGGCAATCGGATAAACGGTGTGGTAATGCATAAAGGACAGACACACACACACACATATACATTCATTTTTATATATATAGATTACAAAATTTTAAACGGGACTTTCTTAAAGCAATTTTAGGCAGGGAGGAGCATGCAAAGAAAGATACAATTAACCACAATAACTCTGCTATTGTGTTTAATTTTTATTACGGCACGAGAATGATTGATATATAAAGAAAATTTGAAATTATTATTGTTTTTCTTCTAATTATATATGTTTTTATTATAGATTTTATTATGAAATAAACTGTAAATTATAAAATAGTTCTAATGGATAATATAAGCCAAAAAATTTTTAAATAAAAATTGGATGAAAATTAATCAACTACACTGTTATTTTCTGCTCATTTTATACAAACATTTTAAAATTTCTTGATATTCCTGAAATATGTAATTTACTGGTTAACAAGAATAACTGAATGATTTCAAAAGTAAGTTTCATTTATTGACATGATCATCGCATTGTCCTCTGTTTATTCTAGTAAATCAAAAATAAGCAGCAAGTTTTTATAAAGAGCATCTGAATGAATTCAGTAAAAAAATCATCAGTATTATTGTTGCAGACCTTTCTTTATTCATGAAGTAAAATTCCCTGCCCCATGGACACTAACATGCTGAGTTTTAATCAAACTCAGCATGTATTTGGCCAGGCCCACAATGGAGTGGCTGGATGTTTGGGATGAGGCCAACATATCTAGGATGGATCACCTTCAAAAAATTTCTGGTTTTTTTTTTTTTTTTTGAACCATCCAGATTTGTTTCCAGGTCCTCCAGAGCAATCATTTTATTGCCGTACAGGCCTGGTACTACGTGAGCATAACTGGTAGTAACAATATTGTACAAACAATAAATGAATATTACAGTTACAATAAAATTACCATATGATACAATTACAAGACATATACCGTTAGAATACATATTTATAATAAAGTAACAAAATAATTAAAAAAGTAAAGATACAGTAATAAAATGTAAGATATCATTTATAACATTATTGTATTTTATTCTTATAAAGGTATAGTATACAATTAACAGATATATAGATACTTTAGATGCAAATAACTATTTGTACTTATAGTATTTTTATCAGGAATACAAATACAGATACTAGAGGTACAAATAATTCACAATACAGTGGTTACCCATAATACAAATACAATAGATACAATACAGATGCCAGAGGTACAAATAGTTAACAGGAATACAACCATATAAGCATAGATACAAATACTAGACATCCTTAAGGGCAAAATTATTCAGGTCTTCTACTTTGTTCCTAGTACTATCACCTTAGGTACCAGCTACCTCCTTCCTTATCATCAGGATGGAGGATCACATTACAATCACCTATGATAAATATGTCTCTATTGGTTGCCAAGTAGTTACCAAGAATTTGGAAAAAGTCCGAACGTAAGCTAGGCCTCATAGGGCTATAAACAAACAATTCTAGTAGTTTTTTTGTTTTTAACAATATCTAAACAAACTAAGCATCCATGACAAACTGTTGGACGAGAGAAGTAGTGCAACTCCCCCACTCTTACCCCTGGAGAAGCTACAATAGCTGTCATAGTCCCTAATTTTAGGCCTAAAAGCCCTGACCCTTCTCATGTTTTCAAAATACGTCTCTTGCAATGCTAGAATATCTAGCTGAAGGGAGGACAAAAGGGAAGCAACAAAAAGCTGACTGGAAATGGACGAAGTCCATTACAGTTAAGGGATGCTAGACGTATTTTGAAACCCATGATCTGGTTGGGAGGTTAGTATTCCTCCATACTTGGATCAGAGGACTTATCTGACCTAGCCTTTTTCTTATGTCTACTACGGTGGACCCACTTAGTGGATCTAAATTCCCTTCCAGAGTCTGATCCTCCAGCAGTCGACTCGTCACTGCTGGATTTACTACCTTTCCCCTTAATGCCAGTTTTACGCCTAACCCTAGCCCTACTTATCGACTGCTCCTTCTGTTCTATCTTAGAGTTAGCTTCCTCTAAATTAGAGATTACTTTAGTTTCTAAGCCAGTCTCCATGGGTGGAGCCAGAACTGTTTCCTCGATGATCTGAGGTGCAACTTGGGCCTGGCTGTTCGATGGAAGAGAAACAGAAACAGAGTCATCTACAGACACCTCCATCTCAAGGTTGTTGGAAGCTGAGGCTTCTTCAACCATACCCAAGGAAGAACAGGTTAGATTGCAATGGTTGCCGGAACAAACTCGACAAGGTTTGGGGCACAACTTAGCAGCATGATACCTGCTGTGACAGTTGTCACAGAGGTTGGCCTTACAGACCCTCTGCTCGTGACCGGGTTCTAGGCAGCATCAGCAAATGCGCTCAATGCCCCTATAGCCCAAGGTCAGGGGCATTCCCTCATAATAAAGAATGTTTGGAATCGGTTTCTTGACTTCAATGCATATTTTGACCATGCTGGTATCTACATGAGGGCAGCCTGGGACTTTCAACATAGATACTGACTTAACGGTGTCGAACTGGCCCAACAATAGGCAGACTGCCTTAAGGTCCATTTCAGGTGGTCCTTTTTCTCACGTGCAGACTATAAAGAATTATATATCCTCTAATATTTTTAGTCATTAACTTTTTCTCACGTGCAGACTATAGAGAATTTTATATCCTCTAATATACTCTACTATATTAATTTGTAGTCATTAACTTTTTACGTGAAAGCAAATGAAGACAGTAGTAATGTCTTTGTCGAGAGGGACAGGGAATACCCTGGAGTTGTTCACCATGAAACCCGT